GCTCCTGCAAATACCAACAAACAATGGCTTCAACCATGGTTTCAAAGTTGTGCGAACGGATTTCGCAACCAGCCACATTTTGCCATCCATCCATCAACGCTCCGTTGAAGGCGCCAACCGGTTTGAGGCACCTTCCGCGCCAACACTTCCCCGAACCTCACAGATCAAACCGAAGCCCTGGCGGCGGCCGAGGCGCTCTACTTGGAGGCGCCGGCCAGGAAAACGGCCTCCTGCAATGCAGGGGATTATCGTCTCTATGTTTGGGGCCTCAGATTCCGATACTAAAAGATTCCGCCTGCACATGGCGGAATGCACATGGCCCATAAGGCCATGTTGGAGGTATTGAGTTTGCGCATGGGAGTGATCAAATGCGCAGTTCAAGCAAGGAGGCCACACATGAAATGGCAACCTTTCCAATCATGAGGTGCTTTTGGTGGAGTGCTTCATGCTTGCCCTTAGTCCACTTGATTCAACTCCCACCGTACATGAGACATCAGAGTGTGAATGAGGCAGCTGGTGCCCGGAAGTGACTTGCTCGGAGACCTCGGTAGCCTTCTAGTTTATAATGGAACTTAATGCTTGTCTTTTTGGATCCGAAAGATGCGCCAGTTTTTCCCTCACGCTTGTAGGCGAATGAAGTCAGCTTCAGTGAAAAGAAGTCGCATCCGATGAACTCGCTGGAATACAGCTCGACCCATTGACAACATGGTATCCCTTCTTTGCGCCCTTTGGAGGTGGCAGAAGATGACCTCCGGAGCCTCCCCTCCAATGGTATTTTTCATGCTCAGGTTGGGGGTGGCGCCATCAACCGCGCCTTCGGTGAGCTGCCCCTTCGGACGCAAAAGGTGAGCGGAGATGAGGTGTTCATGGGGTTTTGCGCATCATGGGCTTGTCCCTTAGGCTCTTTGGCGGCTTGATTCAAAAGGGACGCCAACGGGGTGCCATCCGTTGGGGGGAGGGCGGGGGGTTCACCAAATTTGGAGGTAGACCCAAGTGATACGTGCGGCAGTGGGCCTTGGAAGAAAAGAGTTTGAGAGCCAGTTTATCGATAGGTTGCCCTTTTCCTTGGCCTTCAACTGCTTTGCTGGGTCATGCGTTCCTTCGGCAGGATTTGGCCACACCTGCCATATACAACTTTCAAGGCATCGAATGTGCCGAGTTGGGCAGAGACCAGGATCCTGATGATGTTGCACGCCAGTTGGGGCTCGGAGCATGCCACAGATGATTTCAAGCTGTTGCTTTATTAGACTTCGGCAGCGGTGTGTGCACGTGTGTGTTTATCCGTGGGTTCTGCCTTGAACATTCTGTTCGGTTTGCAGCCAGCTGCTGCAGGCAAAGGGAGGTTGTTGCTGTTGTTTGCCCTCATCACGGATCAACCGAAAAGAGCCAGTGATCCGTTCGCATGGTTTGACTTGTTCAGTCGTTGGAGAGGGGCCTTCGCTTCTGAATGCTCCCCGCCGCTTGCGGAGCAGAGGTTGAAGAAGGAGCAGGGATTGGAGTTCGGCAAAATCTGCGAGGACGGTCTAATGCTGCATCACGCTTCCTTCGGGCCATCAGATGTTTGTCACCAAGGCTATACCACACCTGAAACATGTGTGCTGTAGCATTTTCGCAGCTGCAAAGGAGGCCCGTTGATTCGCCAGACAGCCTGGCATGCCCTGTGACAGTAGCAATTTGGGACCTGGTTGCATTTTGGCAGCTAAAACAAAATCTCGATGCGCGCTCAATGCGCCCACAGGGGGGAAAACGCGAGAGGACTACCAGACGCTTCACTTGGACTTGCTGCAGGCAAGCCGCAAGGCCTGGATTCCTCTTGGGGGTACTGCTCATGTCTCCGCACAAGTTGCTGTAACTCAGCGATGCCTTTATAAGAGTGAATAACAATGACACCATATGACTCCTCAACAGCCACAAAATAATATATGTGACTTCGCTGTTTCTTCAGCTGTCGTTTTCGAAAGATGCCGTTGAACCGCGGCAGCTCCTGAAAAAATGGTGGGTACTCCTTTGCCGTGCAGGCTGGCCGGAAGCTGGTGACCGCTGGGGCCTGACTTGTCGACGAAGGGATGCAGGCTTCCATAACCGAGGTGAGGTGGTCATATGCTACAGGTTGAATGTCACATACATGGTTGTTGTTGGGAAACATTTTACATGTTTGCTTATTGTGGTTTAGGGGGAAAATTCCAAATTGGCTGCTAAAATTTAAGTTGTTGCTCCCCTTCACCGTCAACCAAGTATAGATAGACTATGTGGCGAGACAATCATTCAACTCCTGCTGGAAGTGGCACTCTGGGTTCGAGGGTCGGAGTTTGCTGAGCCACAAGGCTGCTGGACGCACAGCCTCAAACGCCCGAGGCCAAGGATTTGCCCGAGGCAGCTGCGCTGCTGCCAGGGCCTCAGAGGTTTGAGTGGCAACTTGGCCCCGAGGAGGGATTGTGCTGTGTCAGCATCCAGGCCCAAACGATGATTCGTCAGTGGGCAATTCCTCGGTTCGATGTGGCCCATCAAGCTGCACGGTGCAGTTGGCCGCCTCAACAGGCCTAGCGTCCAGCTGCATGCGTCCTTTGGCCGTGCAGCCGACGCCGGTGAGCCCAGACCGTAAGTGACGAGTTCACATTGCCCCCCAAGTCCAAGAGGAAGCTTCGCATTGCGAGCACCGAGGTTCGTTGGGCATCCCCACCCCCCCTGAAAAAAAGGAATGGGGGCAGGAGGGTGATCATCCCCTGGACTTCCATTTGTGGTTCCATTTCCTTTTTTTGAAGATAAATGGATTTGGGGGACCCCCCGCCCCCCTCGCCCTTACGGCATAGTTGGAGTCACTTCAGATTTCGTGTTGCAAAGGATTTTGCCGTCTCGATCTTCGGGCTTACACAGGCCGAAGGTCGCAGGTCCTGTGCGCTCGAAACAAAGGAGGCGGACAATGAGCTAAATGAGATCGGTCTCGAGGTCTCAGGCATTTTGCCGGAATACGCTGGAAGTAGTCGCTTCCAAAAAGAAGGCCTCAAAGTTGCCTTGTTTGAGGTTTCGCAAGCTTCGAGGGGTTGCGCGCGAAACCTGCAAACTAAAGTCCGCGGATGAATGTTGGATCTTTTTGCAGTCGGTCCACTTCTTAAGCGTCCTTAAGTTTGCACTGTCATCCAGGTGCACAGGACCACGGCTTTTGCATACTGGAGCGCATCAAACATTTATATAGTGGTATCCCTGCATTGACATTCGACCAGTTAGCATTGCGATGAGCAGCGCCTACGCTCTCGCTTGCGGCGTTGAGGCTTCGCTAAAGAGTGTAGCGAGCCTGAAGCACGGTGTTTGGCTCGTGGCCAAGGTCCTTCCAGAAGAAATGGAAGGTGACCAAGGCCTGGGGGGACCGGTTTCCCCCCACTCTCAAGTACCTATTCCAGGACCTCTAAGCGAGAAACCCATGGCCCATGAACCTTCATGCCATGGAACCTAAGGGAAGTCCAATGGAAACCCATGGCCCATGGCCGTGGATGGGTGCATCAGTGACGTCAGTGTTCCCTGCCAGGCGTGAAGGACTTGGGCGGTGCTACAGGCTGGAAAAAACGACCTGTGGGCACCTCACAAGTGGGGCACCGCTTCGTTTGGGCATGGGTCAAAATTAAACCACCAGGGGACCGCAGGTTTTAGTCCATGTTTCCATTTACCAGGATTCCATTTTGGGTACATATTTTTGACCCACAGCCATTTGGGGTTGTACATTTGAAGAGGGGGCGTGTACTGCTTTCGTATTGGGCCGGGCCGGTCTTTTTCACAAAATATGCAAACCCACGCAAAAGTTGCCAATCGGCTGCTTTGCACCAGAGTAATTTATATTTGCATCTCGGACGCGTCAAAAGCAAGATAAATATGTGGCCTCAGACTAAGCCAGAAAGCTATCTTTACTGTTTGCTGGTTCCTTTGTCAATGCGGGTCAATCGCCCGTTGCGCGCCCTAAGCACTTCCACGAGCGAAGCTGGCTTCCACTTTGGCGAGCAAGGACCTTGAAGGGGCCTGAGAGGATGTCTAGGTCCGCCAGTAGTGCCTTTTACCCGTTTTTGGGGGAGGATTCCCCTACTAAATAGACTACAGAAAAGAGGTACCCTTATTCTAACCTCTCTACTGGAGGACTTAGATGTACAAGGTACAATATCTTTATGGAGGGGCTCCCTGGGCCAAAGGGCTGGACACTTTGATTCGGCGTCAGGCTCCGTCTTCATCGACGTTTTTCGAGAGGAGAAGAGACCTCTGCTGGGAGCTAAATACCTATAGGTGATCAAGCAAGCGCTTTTGAAAGACACGCTTTCCGTTAGTGCAGCCGCAAAGCACGGTCACTTCTTGGGAGGGCCTTGCAGCGTGGCAATTAGGATAGATGATAGATGTGCATGCTCCTGTCTGGTTTCACTCCTCTATCAATCTTTGCTGCTGGAGGCACAGCCGGAATGTAGCCATGCTCTACGTCGTGGGGCCGAAAGGGGAGGCGAGGACGGTCCAACAGTCCAACGGTCCGACGGCACGGCAAGCGGCGCCAGGGATGCCCTGGACCGTGGGGCCCTGACGCTGGCCCGCTGCTGGATGAGGATCGCTTCCTGGAGCCTGGCTGGCTGAGTTAGAAGGGATCCAGGCAACACCAAAGGCAGAAGGCGACACCAAAGGCAGGCAATTGGGCTGGATTGCGGAAATCCGACCGCGTCCGCCCATTGTTATGTTGTGGCATTTTGCTGGCCCGGAAACTTCCAGTATCTTCCAGTTGAACTCCAAGGTCATGTCAGGAGTCATGAGCAGTGCAGGATGCACAGCGCTTTTCTGTTCCAAGTGGAAATGCTCAGTGCGCTTCCTCCGAGTCACGAAGCCTTGACTAAACCATCCTGACCCTCCGAGCTATCAACTTCACAGAAACCCAGCGACAAAAACGCAGAAGGCTCAATTTGGCGCAAGAAAGGCTCTGATTCAGGCCAGGCGGCTTTTGGCTTCAGACCTGGCGCGTCCGCTGTCCGTCATTCGCCATGGGATGTTCAGGCAGCACGCTGAGCTCGCCGGCCAGGGCCGTCAAGCCATTTCCAGGCATTGCATTTATCGAGCAAGAGTTTCCCGTGCGGATGCCTTGTATTCCAGGGGACGTGCTCATTAGTGGAAACCTGCCGCGGGAGATCGTGGAAAAGATGGCGGGGTACTGCAAGGGCTGGTTGTACATTGAACCGGAGCAAGATGAGTGGTTCATGCCGGAGGCAATCCAGGATCGGGGCGTGTCTCTGAAAATGGTACCTTTCAAGCCAGGAAAGGATACCTCCACCAGTGCCCTGCACAAAATGTACACCGCCATCTCCCAGATGCCCCGACCCTTGATGATTCAGTGTAGCAGCGCGAACCGTGCTGCAATCGCCTTACTGCTTTGGATGGCCTTCTGCTACGGGTACAGCAGGGCTTCGGTGAATCAGTTGCTACAGGACCTGGACTTGACCACAGTGAAGTCTGAGGCAAAACGGTGGCTAGAGAATCAGTTGCCAGAGGTGGGCAAGGTGGAGCCTTTGATCTCGCGCAGCCCCGAGGTGACTCAACTCTACGACGAGGTCACCAGCACCTTGACGTACATCGTTGCTTGCCCCAAGACCAGGGAAGCCCTGCTCATCGACCCGACCCACCGAAAGGTGCAGCGGGACCTGGAGGTGCTGCAGGGCATGGGAGTCTTGGCATATGACCTTTCGCAGGACAGCGACTTCCCTTTTTCGGCGGTTTTAAGGCATCACCTTTTTGGTTCATGAAAGGTGAGTGTCCTTGGTTGAGCCTTCAACTGAATCTTCAGCGCAAAAGCACCGAAACAACTGAGCCTTCAACTCACAAAAACTCAGCCTTGAACTCGATCTATCCCCCCACTTGAGTTTGAGGCTGAGTTTGGAGCTGAGTTTGTTCTGAGTTTTGTTCTGAGCATGTTCTGAGTTTTGTTTTAGTTCGTTCTGAGTGTGTGTTTTTTGAGTTGTTGCTGAGTTTTATTTTGTTTCTCAGTGTTGTTTGTTGTTGTTTGGTTTCTTGGTAAACTCAGCTCCAGACTCTGCCTGACACTCAAGTGGGGGGCGTCGAGTTCCAGGCTGAGTTTGTTCTGAGCTTTTCTCAAGTCTTCCCAGATTGGGAGTTTTTCCAGATTTAATAGTTTTTGCAAATTGCTGGATTTGTGGCCTTTGTGGGTGAGATCTTGACATAACACGAGCGCAACTCAAATTGGCTGTCTTGGCGAGTTGGTGGCATTTGAAACATGCGGATGGACATTTGTGCCATAGAGCTCACACTGCAGGTCAATCAACTGATTCGCGCTGCGTGCAACTCACGCCAGGCTCAGCATGCGCAATTGGCACGCACACGTCGAGCGGCCAAAATGGAAGCTTGGGGAGCTCAAAGCGGAAGACTGCGAATCAGCCAAAGCCTTGAAAACAGTTGCTGGTTGCCGGTATCGTGCCCATCCGGCACACACAAGAGACAGCTTGCCCCTATGTGAAGAATGGTTCAGCCGCACAGTCTGGAGCTGAAACGTGTTTGTGGGTTTGCCCAGGTACTCTGGGCAAATCGGGCTTGCCGAATCGCAACAAAGAAGTGGCGTTCTACGCTGGACTTTTGACGCAATTGGTTCATTTGGCAACGTGTGCCCGAACTGTCCACACCTTCCTTCACATGCTTGACGCGAGGAAATATTATAGTATATGTATATATACATTAAACATATACTTCGCTTCGAGCAATCCCCACCCTCCACACTCACGAGCTTACGACCGTGAACACGGTTGTGTGAATTCAAGCATGGTGTTCGAGTGGCTTGGGGCCTTATCCACCTGTCTGTGTGTCAAACTCCACTTGTCTGCGAGCCGATCTCGAGAACTCAAACATCGGTTCCGTTAACAACAGCCAAGCCCCTTCCAAAAAGAAACCCGGCTGGGATTAAGCGAAGTTCCTTATTCACAACCCAAAGCAACACAAAAGCATCACCCTTTCCGAGCCCCCGGGCACACTCAAAGCACGAAGGCACCAGCATGAAATGTAAACCCAACTGCCCGCCGGGCGGGACATTAAGCAAAACCAGACTGGCGAGCTGCTCCGGCGGGATACTGGTGGGATCCACTGGCGAATGCTGGCGAGTCGCTCCGGCTCGAGACTGGCCGGATACTCCGGCAGGATCCACCGGCAAGGGATACTCAGCGGGATACTGGGCGGGAACCACTGGCGAGCTATTCTTGGCACTGGCAAGCTACTCTGGCGGGATACTCCGCGGGATCGACTCGCGAGCTACTCTGGCACTGGCGGGCTGCTTTGGTGGGATACTTGGTGGGATCCACTCTGGCGGGATCCACTGGCAAGCCGCTCTGGCGGGATAGTGGGAGGGATCCACTGGCCAGCTGCTGGCGGGATACGCGGCGGGATCCACTGGCGAGCCGCGAGATACTCGGCGGGATCCACTGGCCAGCTGCTGGCGGGATACGCGGCAGGATCCACTGGCGAGCCGCTCTGGCGGGATACTCGGCGGGACCCGCTGGCGAGCAGCTCTGGCGCATACTGGGCGGGATCCACTGGCAAGCAGCTCTGGCGGGATACTCTGGCGAGCTGCTCTGGCGATACTCGGCGGGATCCGCTCGCGAACCGCTCTGGCGGGGTACTCGGCGGGATCCACTGGCGAGCAGCTCTGGCGGGATACTGGGCGGGATCCACTGGCGAGCAGCTCTGGCGGCATACTCGGTGGGATCCACTGGCGAGCTGCTCTGGCGATACTCGGCGGGATCCGCTCGCGAGCCGCTCTGGCGGGATAATTACTCGGCGGGATCCCCTGGCGAGCAGCTCTGGCGGGATACTGGGCGGGATCCACTGGCGAGCAGCTTTGGCGGGATACTCGACGGGGCAAGCCTCTGGCGGGAAATCTGACACCCCCTTCCTGTCGGGTGGGGAAAAAACTGGGGGCCCCACTGGCCCTATCTCAGGACTTTGCCTGAAATACGTGCTGAACACCCACTGCCTGCCAGAGCGCAGCGCCACGAACAGCCTGCTGCAGCAGACGCAGCCGGAGCTGCAGACCGTGATCTCGCAAGCCTCCGATGTTGAGGCAGATCTCCAGGCGCCTGGCCTTTTGGTTGGAATGCAGCGGCACGCCCCCACCACTGCAAACTAGAAGTGGAAGCGAGAGGGAGAGGGAGGGAGTGAGAGGGAGAGCGCCAGAGAAATACAGAAAAGGTCCTTACTCTAGCTTTTGAAGCTGGACTCTTTCCGATTTCGAAGTGCCAAGCGAGAAATGATCCGTTGAGCATGGTTTATTTTGGCTGGCCGCTGGCAAGCCAAAAAAAGGCAAAGAAATGTCCACGGTGGGAAAAAACGTTGAGGTGAGCCATGGACAGCGGATTCCATTGGGCATGCTGACTTTGGAGGTGAGGGGAACGCCAGGCCACACCGCCGGCTGCGTCAGCTACGTGCTGTGCACGCGCACGGCGAGCTTCGCCTTCACCGGGAACTCGCTGCTGATCCGCGGCTGCGGCAACACGGACCATGGGGACGCTCGCCAGCTTTACCGCAGCGTGCACCAGCAGATCTTCACTTTGCCAGGCAAGCGATTGTCGAGCTGGGAGGTGGTTCTTCTGATTGTATGGCATTTGTGTTGCACAACTTGCCCGGCAAAAACGGGAGAAGTGCATTCTTGAATGAGGTATTCGTGTTGTTTTGGTCTATGCTAGGATCCTGTTTGCTTGTCCAATGCTTTCGGCCCGGCTGAACTGCTGGCTCAGTCAGGTGATACCATTGTATGCCCTGGGCATGACGCAAAGGGCCGCAGTGTTTCGACGGTGGAAGAGGAGAAGCGTTTCAACCGACGCCTTGCAAAGGCTGAGGAGGAGTTCGTGTGTCGCATGGACTCTTGGCTTGACGTTGAAACGGGGGTTGATCAAGATTCCATATAGGGCCCCCAAATAACCATATGTAATTTTCCCATTTTGTGGTTGTAGTATCATCTGTTTGGTGCTTTTCGCTGAATGGTCATCCCATGTAAAGGACCTTGTGACCCCCAAGTTTTGGACCAGCCCTTGTTCGGGTCCTAGCCGCGCCCGCGTATGTGGGTGTGAGCGCCTGCCGAGTCATGCACCTCATGCGGTGGGGTGAGGTAATTAGTGCGTGAGTGGGTGGGTAAGTGGGAGTGGGAGTGGGAGTGAGTGGAAGAGATGCACGCATGCAAGACCGCATGCTCGGCACACTGAGGAGAAGAGACATTGCTCAAGCCCACACCTTGTCACAGCCACTGCCACCACGCCAGACGACGAGGAGGACGCCATTGTGCACGACACTTGGTCCAAAGCTGCTAGCGTATTTCCTTTGGCGTGACTCATTTGAATGGTGCGCATGCTGTGTGAGGTGGTTAGTGTTATGATGTAGCCTTATGATGCAGCTATTTGTGTTGCCCTGTGATGTGTGTCTTTCACTCGAAATTGGATTTATGTACACCTCTAGGCCCTTGGGTGCAGATGTTCAGCAGAAAGAGGCTCAGTGCTTTTTTGTTCTGTTCTTTTCTATTTCTTTTTTTTGGCAGAGGGGCAAGGGGGGGAGGGGGGGGCCATAGTTTTCATCATTTGGATCACGTGCCCGAGAAGCGGAGCTGTTCCTGCCCCGACCTGGGTGTGAAGCCTACAGCCTCCATCATGCGGGAGGCGCTGTCCGAGGTGCAGAAGCGATTCACGGAGACCGGGCTGGAGGACGTGACAGGGCAAAGCTTTTGGTTTTTGCAACCCGGGCCTGGGATTTTTTTTTCGGGGGGAAGCCAACAGGAGGTCTTTGTGGACAAAAGGGGGTGCCAGATTACGGGGTTCAACTTGTGGTGTCTCTTCAAAATCACCACACAAAGGTACCCACGCAAAACACACAGATACGCAAATAAAGGTGGCTTACACATGTAGGGGCTCGCCCATCGCTGGAGGATTTTACCGAAATCATCTACAGTTCGCTTTGAATTCAACCCTGTACAGATGCATGAAATCAGCCGCAGCCAAGCTGCAGGAATGAGAAGCACGAAGTGGGCGTGAAGCCTTGATGGGGCGGAAGCGCGCGAATGTTTGGTTTATTGCTGGGCTTGACCGAGTGTGGTGTGGGTTACGGAAAGATGCCGTGATCGGCTCCGCAGAGCTCTGCTAGGCCTTTGCTCAGGTTTTCCTCAGGCGCATGGCGCGCTTTCTGTCGAGGCTCCAGACCAAAGGCAAGCACTTGTCCGCGAAAAGTGGGAGACGTAGATGGTACCAGCTCGCAAGAACCTCTCCAGTTGTCAGGCGTAGCTGTTCTCGCAGCAGCTGGGAAGCTCACAAATCAGAAAGGGACATTGACTTGACAGTCGACAGGGGTGGTATCCACCTTATGGGGTGGACAAGCTCGCTTTTTTGATCACATGTTTTAGCGACTCAGTGCATGATGCCCTGCAAAGCGACCTAGATTTCTGTTCGTTGCCAACTTGTCCAAGCTCGAGCCGCTTTTTCTTGCTGCATCGGAGTTGTGAAGGGCGATCAATTGACTGTCCGGCATGGAGCCACCTTTGGGCTTCAGAAGTGTCCAATCCGGCAACCTATGGGCTGCCAAGTCTCCACAAGCTCCTCAGCTGGTCCGATTCCAGGTTGGGAAGCCATTGAGAAGGAGCATCCCGTGCGATTTCCCTGCCTTCCTGGAGATGTGCTCATCAGTGGCAGCCTGCCCAAGGAGATCGTTTTCCAGCTCGCTGGGTATTGCAAGGGCTGGCTGTACCTTGACCCAGAGCAAGACGAGTTCATGGCAGAGTCCATTTTTGCTCGTGGGTGTTCCCTGCAAGTAGTGCCATTCAAACCTGGCCGGGACACTTCCATCACTGCCATGCGGCACATGCTTGCGGCCATCAGCCAGATGCCCCGGCCTTTGATGATCCAGTGCAGCAGCGCGAACCGCGCGGCAGTTGCACTCCTTCTATACATGGCGATTCAGTATGGCTACAGCAGGGCGTCTGTGGATCAGTTGCTTTATGACCTGGACTTCCACACGGTGAAGTCTGATGCAAAACTGTGGCTAGATAGTCAGCTGCCGGATGTGGGGAAGGTGGAGCCTTTGATCTCGCGCAGCCCCGAGGTGACTCAACTCTACGACGAGGTCACCAGCACCTTGACGTGCCTTGGCGGGCTATGGCATGGCTGGTCTCAAAAGAGGGGACTCCAGACATGAATGGTGTTGTTTTGGCTTTGCTTTTTGAAACGCTGCCCAAAGGGGGGACTTGTACCATCAAGAACGACGCCCCCATATCCCGCAACAAGAATAACCTTTAGCAAGGGATCAGTGCACCAAGGTACCTCGTGAAGTGCCCAGAAACAAAGATCGCGGCACTCATCGACCCAGTGCCAACAAAGGCAGAAAGGGACTTGGAGCTTTTGCGGAGCATGGGAACCTTGGCTTGGCAGCCCGCACGTTTCTAACGTGTTTCTATGTCTATTGTGTTTCTATTGTTTTTCACTTGCTTCTACGCCCGTGCAAGAAGTCCATGCGAACATACATAAATCAAGATATGTCGTGCCGCTGTTCTTGCCACCATGCCCACCTTGCGGCATGCCTCGGGTGCACACTCAATGCCGCATCGCCAAGTTGGTGGACATACGGCCGCAGATGACTTTGAGCGGAGTGTCCGAAGCGCATGCGTGCTGCACGGTTGGTGTACGGACCTGCGCGAGGTCCGAGAAATTGTTGTCTATTAGTTAGTTTTTGAGCTGCAACCCCACCGCCAAACCTGGCAAGGCTGTTGACGATGTAAGGGAAAAGTCTACGTCTGCCCGCTGCCCGCACCACATGACATAGAAACGTCAAGAAGCAAGTGATGTCAGTGTTTTAGTGCAGAACCCAACATAGCAACAAACAAAGCAAACTACGAAAACCGTCACTCGCTATGAATGTTCAAAAGCTTGTGGCTTCTGCTCAACGCAAACATGATACATATGTGCCATAGGTCGCTTTGACCTATGCAAAAGCAACTTTGTTGAGCCAACCTAAGCATGTCTCAATTGCCGGTAGGCGACACGTCCATGCCTTTTGCCTAGGAAGTTCGCTTGCCAACATCTTCTCCGTTTCGCCCTTGCAACTTCTTACGACATCCGCGGGGTTGAAGATGGAAGGGCTACCTAAAGAAGATGGATCTTGCCAATGCGCAAACGGCACTTGGTTGATTCGTCGCATGGGTTGTTTTCACAGTTTTCGCGCACTCTACTTCCGGAAATGCATTGGCGGCCAAGCGCGTGTTCCGAGGCCAGGCCTAGCGCGATGAGCCAAGCCACCCATGAAGTGAACGTTCCCCCCCCCAACCCCCACTCCCCACCCCCTTTGCGACCCAGCCCTTTGCACAAGAAGGGGCTGCGAAACTTCAAACACAGTGCGCCCTAGAACGCGCCGACGCTAAAAAAGCATAGTCGAAGAATCACTAAAAGACTGAGTAACAAAGTGCACAGGGCCCCCTTGTTTTTCCAGTCCATGTGGCCAGCATATGTGCATCAGAACACAGGAGATTAATGGCCATGTGCAGGCGAATGTGGTATGAACATTAACATATGCGCCGCAATCAAAATGCGAACAGATGAAGGGAAGTAAGGGGCAGTCACAACTGTCAATTGGTGTGGCTGCTCTGATTTGTCGCTGGGCTTCGGTAGAACGCCTTGATACCCGGTGCTGAGCATCCCCCGAAAGCTGGCCTCGAAATTGCTTGAGGTTTGTGCGTGTGCCAGAAGGTTTTTGTGCATTTCAGCGGTTCAACTGCCTTTCAGGGCTTCGCTCCGCCCTTTCTCAAGCCACAAGGGAGATTGATTTTCCTGTTGCACTTTGGGGCCCTTCCAGCCCAGGCCTGAGGCTGAAGTACATTCTGAACACGCACAGCCGTGCGGACAACACCGCCACGAGCGGCTTTTTGAGACAGAAGCAGCCAGGGCTGCGGACAGTCATCTCGCAAGCCTCCGGTGCGGAGGCGGACATGCAGGCGGGGCAGAGGTGTAGCTTCAAAACATACGAAAGCGCGGAGCTTGTGCAGGTGCTCGGGTGCATTGCTCACAATTGGTCAACAAAAGCCGATATAGAAGTTGCAGCAAGATACCTTCCGATGGATTTGGCTGGCATGAGTTTCACTTCGACGGCCTAGGAAAGTGCAAAGGTGCAATACCTTTAAACTCGGGTATTGCGTTGTGCTTATGTATTTGCTGCAAAGTAGCTTCCGGGCTTCAAGCCAAGCAGAAGCAACACAGGCAGAGCGGCAAGATTCCGATGAGTTGCGCGTACTCCAAGTTGCGCAGGCCGTGTCGCACCACATTGCGTGTCTGTCTCGTAACAGCAGCTTCAGCCAAGGGACCGGACAACACCGCAACGTGAAGTTTGTAGATCTAGTCCTAAGGTTGGTCTGGGGGGATGCCTTGATTGAGAGATTGATGACATTTGATGCATTTGGGGGGGGTTCTATGGTGGGACATGGATTCAGGCAGCCAGTCACTAGGTCTCGCCAGATAGATGGAATCTGGACATGAGAAGCCGGACATGTTGTTGGTCTTTTGTGTGTGCTGGATCTCGCCTTGTGCAGCACCTCAGGGAGAAGCACTTGTTCTCAAAAAGATTCAGGTCAGAGAAAAAAAACAAGAAACAAGGTGCTGAAGCTGAGGTGTTTCATGGTTCAACACGTTGCGTGCTTTGCAACAGGGAGCTACTTGGTTCGGTTTTGCCAGCAAATCAAATGTATGAGTTTCTCGGCTTTACCTGGCGATTCTGAAGCAACGCTGGGGGGTTCCGTTTCAAAAGCGCTCCGTAGGTGTTCCACGGCCAGACCATCAGCCTGGGCAACCTCATGATGGAGGTGAGGGAGACGCCGGGCCACACCGCTGGATGCGTCACCTTTGTGTTGCGCACGCGTACGGCCACCTTTGCCTTCACGGGAAGGTCGCTGCTGATTCGCAGCTGTGGCAAGACGGACCGGGGGCTTGCCCGGGTCCTGTACCGCAGCGTGCATGAGCAGATCTTCCGCTTGCCAGGCTGGCAGGGAGCAAAGGTGCCCGGTCAACAACAGACATTGAATGTGGGCCAGAGTTTTGCTTCAACTGCAAGAGACGCCACCGACACCACACCCATTCTTTGTCCTTTGAATGACACAGATACTTGTCAAAGATTGCCCTGCCCCCAGCCAGTCCAGCCCAAATTGTTCGGAAAGGTGGCCATATAGCCATGTCCAGGTGGGCTCAGTGTCGCGTGCGTCATGACTGATTCAGCCCTCGCATGCTTATGCTGCCAACGTTGCGGCTAACCAGCATCCCCACTACCCGCAAAGGCCCACGCCGAAGGTGCCATGCATTTATTCAAAAAAGGGGGACATTGTTCTAATTTCACCTTGTGCCTCAGCGTGTTGATTGCCAAAATTACATATTATTGCAGAGATTTCATCTCTGCAAGGGTGTGCTAGTTCTGAACACATATGCTTGACAAATATATTCTGCCCCATGCGTATGTTTCAATTATTGCAAGCGTGCGATAATTCTGAACACACCTGTGTAGGAATTTGTGCACAAGATTAACTTGTGCAAGGTATGCTTGGCATCTATGCTTGGCAAGAGATTAGCCACACGCACAAGTATGTTAAAGTTGTTTCTGAAAGAGAGGGAGAAACTAGTTTAATAATTTGACCATACGTGCACTTGAAAATAGAGCTAATCACATGCTGATCCTCAGTACATCTTGCAGGCTGCGCCTGCAAGAACAGGCCAAGATGTCCAAAGGCTGAAGACTTATGAGCTTGCAGCCTTCACAAAGATTGCAAGCCTGAGCTTGCAATTCTCAGCAGGGACACAAGTAGTATACTTGCAATGATCTTGTGTTTGGAGGCTGTCTACCGTAAGCTTGTCAAGACCGAATTGTCCAAAGCGTGTCGATACAGATGAATGTTCACACAACAGGTGAGTATTTGTACAGATCAAGCGAGAAGGCTAGAATCATCAGCTTCTATCTCTTTCGAGATGTGAATCTTCTGAATGTTCAGAATATAACATCACATAATCTTGCATCATAAGATGTGAGCCTTCTCCCTTCTCACAAGACACAAGAGTTAGATGAGACATGTCATGTCTCATTCTTGCTTCAAGATTGAATGCAACCATTGTCCATCTGATGTTCATCAGATGTTCATCATCAGGTGTGAAGCTTTATCGGTTGGAATTCTTATACAGCTATTCTTTTGAACAAGACTGGACCTTTGGTCCAGGTTACTGGCTATTGTTCCCCACTTCTTTGTGTGGGTTTTTTACTTTTACCGCTTGTCGTCCGGCCACGTCACTCTTTCTTCGCCTCCTACTCCGCCCGCCTCCTCCGTCACTCACTCACTCACACACACACTCTCTCTCTCTCTATCTCTCTCTATCTCTCTCTGTCACTCTCACTCACCCAATGACTCTTACTCACTTGCTCGCTCCGCTCCGCTCCACGCCACGCCACTCCACTCCACCCCACTCCACTCCACCCCACTCCACCACCACTCCACCCCACTCCACCACCACTCACCCACCCACTTACTCAATTATTGACTCACGCACGCACGCACGCACTCACTCACTCACTCATACACTCAGTCAGTCAGTCAGTTAGTCAGTCAGTCAGTCAGTCAGTCAGTCAGTCAGGCAGTCACTCACCCTCACTCACCCACCCACCCACCTCACTCACTCACTCACTCCCTCACTCCCTCACTCCCTCACTCCCTCACTCACTCACTCACTCACTCACTCACTCGCTCACTCACTCACTCACTCGCTCGCACTCACTCACTCACTCGCAGTCACTCACTCACTCGCAGTCACTCACTCACTCACTCACTCACTCACTCACTCACTCACTCACTCACTCACTCACTCACTCACTCACTCACTCACTCACTCACTCACTCACTCACTCACTCACTCACTCACTCACTCACTCACTCACTCACTCACTCACTCACTCACTCACTCACCACACTCACTCACTCACTCACTCACTCACTGACTCACTCACTCACTCACTCACTCACTCACTCACTCACTCACTCACTCACTCACTCACTCACTCGCAGTCACTCACTCACTCGCAGTCACTGACTCACTCGCAGTCACTGACTCATTCAGTCACCCTGTGGCAAGGGCGGCATTCGGTGTTCCTTATTTTGCGTGGCAGGCGCAGCATTGTGTGACTTGGCATGCAGCTCGTGGCAGCATTTGGTGAGCACAGATGTACGATTGCCTGGCAGGGGCAGCATATGGCGCTTTGTACAGGACTTGGTGACACACTGCGCGTGCTTCGGGGCCTGGCACGCGCCGCAGTTTGTGACTTGGCGTGGAGATTTCGTGGCAGGGGCAGTGTTTGGTGAGCACGGGTGTACGATTGCCTGGCAGGGGCGGCATTTGGTGCTTCGTAAACTGGCTTGGTTGCCCACCCCGTTTGGCTTGGCAGGCAATTTGTTTGTGACTGGGCGTGCAGATGTACATCTGGCGGTGTCCAGAAAGACTTGGTGTTGCACTGCGTGCGCTTCGGGGCCCCATTCTGCGTGGCAGGCGCAGCACCGTAGCTTGGGGAGGAGGGTTGCGTGGCAGGGACAACTGCTCTCCTACAAAACTTGGTGCCGTTGCAGGCTCAAAATAAAGTTGGGGCGGGTCGGATCCAAAAGTAAGTCATCTATTTTCTTTTATTCCATCCCCCTTTTTCCATTAAAACTAATTTTGGCCTCTTTGAAAAACCCTTCAGAGTTGGACTGAACTCATTTCAAATTAACCTGAGGCAGCCCGCTTCTTCCCCAGGAAGAGTTGGACCCCCTTGGCTTTATGTCCATCCAAAAATAAAGTGAAATACGTTTTGTCCAACTTGGACTGATCAAACCAAGCCCCCAAAATCAGGTCAAAAGCAATCGTGATTTGTCAATTTATCTTCTGTCAAAGTTGGACTATTTCATGTTATTTTCCAATAAGGATGGACTAACCCTATTTTATCTGATAAAATGGGGGGGGGGTTCAATGAACCTTGTCTGGAGCCTCTGACGCGGGTCTTGGTGCTGCGCTGCGCCCATTTTGCGTGGCAGGCGCAGCACCTGTGTGACTTGCCAGATCTTGTGGCGCGGACAGCATATTGCACGTCAGGGCGGCATTTGGTGCTTCGTAAACTGGCTTGGTTGCCCACCCCGTTTGGCTTGGCAGGCAATTTGTTTGTGACTGGGCGTGCAGATGTACATCTGGCGCTGTCCAGAAAGACTTGGTGTTGCACTGCGTGCGCTTCGGGGCCCCATTCTGCGTGGCAGGCGCAGCACCGTAGCTTGGGGAGGAGGGTTGCGTGGCAGGGACAACTGCTCTCCTACAAAACTTGGTGCCGTTGCAGGCTCAAAATAAAGTTGGGGCGGGTCGGATCCAAAAGTAAGTCATCTATTTTCTTTTATTCCATCCCCCTTTTTCCATTAAAACTAATTTTGGCCTCTTTGAAAAACCCTTCAGAGTTGGACTGAACTCATTTCAAATTAACCTGAGGCAGCCCGCTTCTTCCCCAGGAAGAGTTGGACCCCCTTGGCTTTATGTCCATCCAAAAATAAAGTGAAATACGTTTTGTCCAACTTGGACTGATCAAACCAAGCCCCCAAAATCAGGTCAAAAGCAATCGTGATTTGTCAACATATCTTCTGTCAAAGTTGGACTATTTCATGTTATTTTCCAATAAGGATGGACTAACCCTATTTTATCTGATAAAATGGGGGGGGTTCAATGAACCTTGTCTGGAGCCTCTGACGCGGGTCTTGGTGCTGCGCTGCGCCCATTTTGCGTGGCAGGCGCAGCACCTGTGTGACTTGCCAGATCTTGTGGCGCGGACAGCATATTGCACGTCAGGGCGGCATTTGGTGCTTCGTAAACTGGCTTGGTTGCCCACCCCGTTTGTCTTGGGAGGCACTTTGTTTGTGACTGGGCGTGCGTGCTCGGGGCCCCATTTTGCGTGGCAGGCGCAGCACCGTAGCTTGGGGAGGAGGGTTGCGTGGCAGGGGTGGCAGTTGGTGCTCTCCTACACAACTTGGTGACCCCCGTCGCAGGCTCAAAATAAAGTTGGGGCGGGTCGGATCCAAAAATAAGGCATCTATTTTCTTTGATTCCATCCCCCTTTTTCCATTAAAACTAATTTTGGCCTCTTTGAAAAACCCTTCAGATTTGGACTGAACTCACTTCAAATTAACCTGAGGCAACCCGCTTCTTCCCCAGGAAGAGTTGGACCCCCTTGGCTTTATGTTCATCCAAAAATAAAATGAAATACGTTTTGCCCAACTTGGACTGATCAAACCAAGCCACCGAAATCAGGTCAAAATCAATCGTGATTTGTCAATTTATCTTCTGTCAAAGTTGGACTATTTCATGTTATTTTCCAAGAAGGATGGACTAACCTTATTTTATCTGATAAAATGGGGGGTTCAATGAACCTTGTCTGGAGCCTCTCACGGGGGTCTTGGTGCTGCGCTGCGCCCATTTTGCGTGGCAGGTGCAGCACCTGTGTGGCTTGCCAGATCTCGTGGCACGGACAGTATTTGGCAAGCACGGGTGTACGATTGCATGGCAGGGGCGGCAGTTGGGTCTCTCCAAACAGTGTGTTGCGTGGCAGGGGCAAGCACGGTGGCAGGGGCGGCATTTGGTGCTTCGTACACTGGCTTGGTTGCCCACCCCGTTTGGCTTGGCAGGCACTTTGTTTGTGACTGGGCGTGCAGATGTACAATTGAAGTTACATTGTGTGGCAGGGGCGGCATTTGTCGCTGTCCAGAAAGACTTGGTGCGCTTCGGGCCCCCATTTTGCGTGGCAGGCGCAGCACTGTAGCTTGGGGAGGAGGATTGCGTGGCAGGGTTGGTTCTCTCCAAACAGTGTGTTGCGTGGCAGGCGCAGCGCTGAGCGACTTGGCGTGCAGATTGCGTGGCAGGGGCAGTGTTTGGTGAGCACGGGTGTACGAGTGCGTGGCAGGGGCGGCAGCTCGTGTCGGAGCCCTCGTTTTGCGTGGCAGGCGCAGCGCTTTGTGACCGGGCGTGCAGCAGATTTCGTGGCAGGGGCTGCATGGAGGTGAGCACTGATGTACGATTGCGTGGCAGGGGCAACATTCGATACTCTCTAAAGGGGCTTGGTGTTACACTGCGCGCGGACTCGTTAACAGGAAGTAACGATACACACTTGCTAGCTGTTTACTCTCACTCATCTCAGCTCTACTCATCTAAGCTCTTACTCATGTCACTCCCATTGCACATGGGCGCTTCTTCTTGCGCATCCAGCTGATCTTGACATATCTTGACATGAGATAGCTGGGAGTCGCTCGACACAAACACAGGGCTCACAGCTCCGGCTTCATTCATTCCTGCGTTCTTCCCTTCTTGCTTTCTCTCTCTCCACGCTGCTAGGTTTCTTTCTTCCGTGAGCCTCAATCATATTTGCCACAAAAACTTCCCACGTGGAGTTATGCGGTCCTTTAATTCTACATTGTTGATGTATTTTAACTAAGACTGCGCTGCGTGCAGGATGTGAAGCAGAGCTTCACATTGAACACAGTATGATGCGGGTATTACTTGGTCTGCTGCTTGATGAGTTGCTTCACTAAAAGGAGAAGAGCTTCTGAGAATTACGTTTATAACTACTTGGCATTAACTTGCACGAAGATCTGCACGCTGTAGCACGCAGAATGTTCAGAATACGCATTTGGCAAATTGAAAACTTGCATTCTCCAATTCGTTGCTGTTTCGCTAGCTTCGCTAGCTCACAAGACTGCGGGCTTTCTTATATTCTAAGCAAGCCAAATGCACACAAATATTATCGTATCGCATGGTTGCAAAGCAAGCATGCTTATGAAAAAGATTCACAAGACACAAGTAGAGATGCGGGTTGGAGAGGTGGAAGCACATTTCACACCTCAAGTAGCATGAGCCCAAATATGCGAGGAGGACACTCAAAAAGTTGCACGAAAGCTTATCGATAAACTCAATAAACATAAACCGTTCTTCTTCATGAGAAAATCAGTAATATTAATCGAGAAGGCTCACTGTGCGTAAGCATTATTCAAAAAGACTCAATAAGATTGTATTCATGAAACGAGATCTCTTCAGTCTTCTCCAACAGAATAGCTGCATAAGAATTCCAACCGATAAAGCTTCACATCTGATGATGAACATCAGATGGACGATGGTTGCATTAAATCTTGATATGACATGTCTCATCTAATTCTTGTGTCTTGTGAGAAGTGACAAGACTCACATCTTACGACGCAACCAAGTGGGGAGTCGTATCTTTTAAAAACTGGGCTTGGTTAATCCGGAGTCCACATGAGGCGGTTTTCCATGTACCCTCCGCAAAAACCAGAGGTTCAAACCCCGAATGGTACCCTGACAAAAGGTCTCGCAGGAAACCCTTGGCCACAAATTTACGACGCCAAAACCAAACCGCAAGCCCACCGATCTTTCAATCACTCTGCGCGTTGTGTCCTTAAGCCGGGCAAACCAAGCTGCAAACGCAGCGCCTGACTGCAAACCTTCGTGGATGGGCATGGGCACTTGCGTGTGCGCGGCGCTGTCTGGTGCCCTAAAGGGAATGAGGGAATGAATCCAGGGGTCCCCTTAAAGGAAGCCACAAGGGATGGTTTATAAGGGTCATCCCCTCATCCAACAAGATGCAAGTTGGCCGGTTGCCATGCATCTTGAATGGGGGGAATGGGCTGCCGGTGCTTGCGTGAGTACGCGCATGCAGGCTGTGCTTGCTAATGTGCTGCCCCCCCCCTCCACCGCCGATTGCTTGTTGCTATTAAAAAAAATGGAGGTTGGTGGTTGTTGGTGGTTGTAGGCCAGGGTGCTTCAGAAGAGTTGCCTATGGCAAAACCAGAGCAGGCCAGACCAGCCAGCCACAGAAAGAGAGAAAGAGAGAGAGAGAGAGAGTGAGTGAGTGAGTGAGAGAGAGACGACGACATGGGCAGCGCTGCGCGTGTTTTTACCGTTGGCCAATATGCGATTAGTGACTAGTGAGTGACAGGTGCTGCGTTGCAGGCATTCACCATTGTTTGGGCAGCGGTAAGATATAGCAACACAAAACCCAAAAAGCACAGTTGGCGAGCAACAGCATGCAATCATATCATGTTCAACATGCCTTCATGAGCACCGAATGCCACCGTGCAGGTGACACCATTGTTTGCCCTGGCTGGGATGCCAAGGGCCGCAGTGTTTCAACTGTGGAAGAGGAGCGACGCTTCAACCTGCACCTCACAACTTGCGAGGAGGAGTTTGTTCATCGGATGGAGTCTTGACGGTGAATTGCGTGGGTGAAGAGAGTTCTTTGTTCTCGACTTTGTGTTGAAAGTCCTTCCTACACACTGTGGATTCAAACAATACAGGACTCTTCTGTTCTTACCACCTTCCTGATGCAAAGCAGCATTCGTCTCACCCCTGCAGAAAAGTTCAAAGGAAACTACTTGCGGTCATTTAACTCCCAGGCCTTTGGGCCCTCAAGTGATGGAAATGCCATGTCAATATTTGGAACTGTGGCCAAATAGGCAAAGGAAGCTTGTGTAGAAGCAACCTATTGGGAACTGAGACATGCAAAAGCACTTTTATTGTTTACTGAGAGCACTTGCGGATGATCTTCAAGAGTAGATGCGCCTTTCATGAAAAGGTAAGAGACAGATGGAAAACGCGAGGACTGGGAGATCGCAATAGGCAGAAAACGCCGTTGGTCCTGTGCATGATTTCGGCTCGTCGGCCAGTGTCAGTGTGCACAGCACTTGGTCACGAGTTGTGACAGCGGCAGGCTTGGAGCGGGTGCGGAGCGCATTCGGGGACGGGACCGTTCGCACACTGTTCACAGCAAGCGAAGCTTTTGCGCACTTTCGGTGGGTCGACCCTCGGAAACTTGTGGTTTTCTACGATTTGCACTTAGTTCGCTTGACCCCCTGGCGTCCAATGGGTCAACCTCAGAAGACTTGTTTTACTTGAACGTTTTCCAGCTGGCGCAGCCATCAAAAGGCGATCCCTCTGCGGACTTGCGGCGGTTGACCTTCCAAGATTCGCAGCCCTTTGCGTTTTTCGCTTTCGTGGGCTGAGAGAGAGAGAGCGAGAGCCAAAGAAAAAAGAGAAAGCAAAAGAAAGAGAGAGAGAGAGAGAGAGAGAAGTGCAAGGAAGAAAGGTCAAGAAGAAGAAAGAGAGAGAGAGAGAGAGAAAAGCAAAGAAAAAGAGCATGAAAGAAAGGATAGAAAAGGAGAAGAGAAACAAATTGACAAAGAGAGTGGGACAAACAAAGAAAGAGAGAAGGACAACACGAAAGAGGGAACGCGAGAACAAAAGGACAGGGAAAGACACGAAGGGGGGGAGGAAAAACTAGCTCTGAACTATATATATGTATATATCTAGGGGGTTTTGCTTCCTGAAACTTCCGCCCCCGGGAAAAAATGAAAACAATAATGTTTTGAAAAGGCTTGCTGCAATAGTGTTCCCCCGTGTAACTGCTGAAAGACGACCGAATGCAGAGGTTCTGTTCTGGCCGGCCAAGACTTAGCTCGAGCTCCCCCGGCGCTGGTAAACATGAGAACCACGCTCGTGGCACACGGCATTTCAGGAAAGGAGGCATTACTCGAGCCCCAATTTGATTGGCATCGGCGTCAGCGTATCGGATGAGAAGGAGCTGGCCGGCCCTGTGCATGACGCTTGTCGCAGAGCTGTGCTCAAGCCGGTTGCCACATGTCAAACAACAATTGCTATATTTTGGTTTGCTGATTTTTTGCCTCGCTCGCTGGACACTATATCGCTAGGAGACCTTTGCGTGGCTGCTGTTTGCATTTGGGCAGCCATTCATTGTGACCCCCACCCCCAGTAGCTTGAGCTTGCAGGCCCCCGCCCGAAATTGCCACAGGGTTGGATTAACATTGGCGCAAGAAGGACCTGAAACATTGAGTTTGAGCCTGGACTTTTTTGTTTTTCTTGCTGATGTCTTGGCAGCTCAGACCAATCGCAGCGTGTCGTGCCCAGATCTGAATGCAATGAAGGCGTGTGCAGTGCGCGCGCTTACAGATACAATTCGGGAAGAACTTTCAGAGATTCATTTCAGCTCCCTTTGACACTGGTGCTGTACAGACCGAGCGGCAAAGCATGAGCGCAGCTAAGCTGCGCCCAGACATGTGGTTCAGCCTTCTGATTTTGTTTGTAGGCAGTTCAGATGAAGTCCACGAGTGACCTCCAACATGACAGCTCAAGAGCTGTTCATCAGTTGGACGAACTGACTCAGACCTTTGCAGTTTCCCGCTTTTTGTTGGCTGTGTGGTGCAGGTTATGTGGCATGATACCGCGATGCGCCACACAATGGTCAAAAATACAGTCCTGCTTGTGGGCGTTGGATGCCCTCAAGTGTCAATGGCACTTTCTTTGCCAAACTCAGGGCAAGAGGCAACGAAGGCGCCGATGGAAGATCGCAGCCTCTCAAACTTCCTGCGCGTGCAGCCTGACAGTTGGCATCTTCGCACGCGGCAGTGTTGGCTCAAGGGTGTGGGGTGCCGTGATGGGTTGCTCAAGCTCGCAATCCCAAGCTGGTCCGATTCCTGGCTGGGAAGCTATTGAGAAGGAGCATCCGGCACGATTTCCGTGTCTTCCTGGAGACGTGCTCATCAGTGGCAACCTGCCCAAGGAGGTCGTTTTCCAGCTCGCTGGGTACTGCAAGGGGTGGTTGTATATTGATCCAGAGCAAGATGAGCTGAAGGCTGAGTCCATTTTTGCTCGCAGCTGTTCCTTGCAAGTGGTGCCATTCAAACCGGGTAGGGACACTTCCATCAGTGCCATGCACAAGATGTTTACGGCCATCAGCCAGATGCCGCGGCCTTTGATGATTCAGTGCAGCAGCGCGAATCGCGCTGCTGTAGCACTGCTGCTTTGGATGGCGATTCGGTATGGCTACAGCAGGGCTTCTGTAGATCAGCTGCTGCTAGACCTGGAGCTGAACTCTGTGAGGTCTGACGCAAAGCGATGGCTTGAGAGTCAGTTGCCAGAAGTGGGGAAGGTGGAGCCTTTGATCTCGCGCAGCCCCGAGGTGACTCAACTTTATGACAAGGCAGCTCAGTCTCAGTCCAGTTCGCCGACTTTTTTTTGTTTCTCTTCAGCTTCAGTGTAAGTCGTGGTCGCGTGGTCGCAGCTTTGCCTTGCGCGAGGTAACTACCACCTTGACGTACGTGATCGCCTGCCCAGGGACTAAGGAAGCCCTTCTGATCGACCCAGTGCTGGGGCAGGTGGATCGGGACTTGGAGCTTTTGCAGTCCATGGGACTCTGGGCTTTCGTTTCTGCGGGAGTTGGTGAGGCCAAAAAGGGGGTTCATTTTGGGGACTTTGGGATTTTGGGTTTGCTATGGATGCCTTGTCTATGAAGTTCTTTTGCCGAGGCGATGCCGAGGCATGGCTTGCAAAGGCTCAAAGAGTTGCAGATGTTCCATTGTGATCAGTTAGGCACGCAAAAAGGACGCCACGTGGGCTGAAGGTCGGAAACATGGATCAAGGTTTTTTTTTAAAGGCGGCCAGGCGTGTCCCAGCTGAGGATGCAGTCTGAAGTACGTGCTGAACACGCAGAGCCACCCCGAGCTCGGCGCCACCACCGGGCGCCTGCGGCAGAAGCAGCCAAAGCTGCGCACGGTGATCTCGGAAGCCTCTGGCGCAGAGGCGGATATCAAGGCAGGGGGCTTGATTCGGTTGCAGATGTGCGGGTCAAAACCGTTTTGGATCCCATTTTTTGGGGTAGAAGAATTCACCACCCATTGTAGAACCTATTTTAGTGGGGATTGGGATGTTCACTAGGGGTACGATTTGGATTTTGACACATGGCCGTGTCTTTATCTGGTTGCTGAGATTCAAGCTTCCTTTTGTTTTGAATAAACGTGAAGTTTTTGCATTGCGAGGTGCACCATGGACAGCGCATTGCGCTGGGCAAGCTACGTTTGGAGGTGCGGGGGACTCCAGGCCACACCACAGGATGCATCACCTGCGTGCTGCGAACCGGCACGGCGAGCTTCGCCTTCACCGGGAGCACGCTGCTGATCCGCAGCTGCGGGAAGACAGACCAAGGCTTTGCCCGTCAGCTCTACCGCAGCGTGCACGAGCAGATCTTTACTCTACCAGGCGGCAGAAAACTCCGAGGAACAAGCCGACAAAGCAAGAAAACCATAGAAAACCGGCAGAGCAAACAAGAGAACAAGCAAATATGAATGAATCCTCTCTTGACTTGTTGGCATGTGGCAGGGGCAAGGGGTTCAACAACTACCCCCTTGGATAGCCGCCTGAAAGCGCACTCTCACCTAACACGTTCCTTTGCTCGAGCTGCCATAAACGCAAGTTGGCCTTTTCTTTCAACTTACACGTACTGTTGGCGTGCCGATTCGCTGGAGAATCAAAGTTGCACGTTCGCATTGTGAGTACAAACCTGTGGCTTTTGTGACTGGGCTTCACTCTTTTCGGCCGCGCAAAACTGTATTTGTGGGCAGTGGCGCAACATTCGTCCGGTTCTCCGGATGCATTGTCGGGGCAGAAGGCTTTGTCGCGGCACGTTCATTGCTTCTTGGTTTCAGATGTGGCTTGATGTTTTTTAGCGCGCCGCTGTGTGAGCCATGTGAAATGCGGGAGGTGGTATCTTTCCCTCGAGTTCGCTCTGCACCTCTCTGTCCTCCTTCCTTTATCTCGTTTGTCAGCCAGAACCTGCCTAGCCAAACATCATCTCAGGGCGGGTGGACTAGCTTCATCCCTTTCCCAATCTTTTCAGCTCTTGCCTTCCAGCCTGCAGGTGATACCATCGTGTGCCCTGGCCATGACTCCAAGGGCCGCAGCGTTTCTACAGTGCAAGAGGAGAGGCGCTTCAACCGACGCCTAACAGAGTGCGAGGAGGACTTTGTGAATCGGATGGCGCCTTGACTTTCGGGTTTGCTTGTACCTCGCGCCTTCCGATGCAGTCCATGGAGTTCTTCCCGCGCATGGGAAATCAAATTTGTGTCATTTTGCCTTGGATGCCAGTGGCTTTCAAGCTCATAACGTGTTCACAGCTACAATCAGGCCTCTCTCTTGTAAGCTTCTTTCCCAAGCTGCCCCTCTTCCAAAAAGGCCATGTGTCGCATGGGCGGCTTGTAGGGATCAGCTGCCTGGGCTGCCTGGGTGTTCAGCTCCATGGCACCAAAACGGAGGCCACCCAAAGCTCCAGCCAAGCGATGCTGCCCACAGGGGGAGCTGACCTGGCGCAACTGCCGGGCTTTTCGAGGTATAAGGCCTGCATGCAATCAACGAACAAAATGGCCGGCCGCAAACTTGGCTGACGTCTATCCATAGCCGTTTGTTGCATTCAGCCCATGTTGTGTTTTGCGTCAGGCGGTTACAGATTGAAAAGGGCAGCCCCCACCCACAAGGACTGCTTGCTTAGCTGCTTTAAGAGCTGAGGAGAAGAGGTTTTCGAGCCCCCAGCTTTGCAACACCTCGGAGGAGATGGCAACCATAGTGCATGACTCTTGGCTTGGAGCTAGCAATGTTTCAGTCAGCCGCACCTGAGTTTGGCTCAATGGTTTGCGAGACTAGCTTGCAGGTGGCACAACTAATTGTATTACTCTTGGATTTTAGAGAGCAGGCGTTTTTGACTCAAACCAGAACCACCGCAGGCAAGACGTTGTGCCGTAGTCTTGGGTTTGGAGCTGTTGTTTCTGCAATGACAAGCCCTTGAACCTGTGCGTTGACCGAGCATAGTTGAGTAATCAGTAGGGTAGTCTTAGCTCTTGCTTGGTTTATGCCGTGTGCATGGCCCTCATAGACTCTCGCACAAGTGCTTTGACATCACCTTGTTGCACGGCACTGCTCTTCGCATTTCACTGTCGGACTGTGCGGCCGCATGTGCCACCTACCTAAAAGATGCAGGCGTTTCTAGGTGCAGTACGCATGTCAATGCAGGCCGCAAAGAAGCTTCTACATTCCAGTTCATGGTCCTCGCTCTTTTCATGTCGTTGCTACAGACACCCAAATTAGATGCAATCTCTCGCTTGCATGTTGTTTGCCGCTCTGGTGTTTGTATGTTTCGTTGTTTTTCAGTGATACTTGAAGAGCTAAGAAGCGAAGCCTGTCGTGCCCCGAGCTGATGGGTTCTGCTGCGCCCACAAAGCAGGCCCGCTTGCAGAGGAGCTTTACCGACGCCATGTTGGAACAGGTATCGGATATATATTTTGGTTCTTTCTGAGATTCAAGGTTCTGTACAGAGCGCTATGCATGCCCGCAGCTAAGCTGCATGAAGACTTAAGCTCTCTTTTTCCTCATTTTCAGGCCAGAAAGACGTCCACAAGTGACCTCCAACTGAACAGCCCAAAGGCTGTTTAATTGTTGGATCAAATGGCCATTGGGTCCCTGGGTGTTTGTCCATTTTCTGATGGCCAGGCTTGGGTGCAGATACAGTACGCTGCACGGAGTTGAAACGCCAGGTCAAAGAACTACGCATTATATCGTCTTCCTTTGCTCACGGAGTAACTCAACTCTTTGAATGGCGCCTTGAAGGGGCTGCTATCTTGATCAGACTCCGGACCAGAGGTAAGCCCTTGCCAATGAGAAAAAGAATGCTCTTGAGCGCACACGCACCACGGCCAGACACACCCACTCGTGCAATGAATTGGACACGCAAGGCGCACCGGAAAAAAAAAAAAAAAAAAAAAAAACTGCCATTTGTGGGCCGTTTTCAGCGGGCCGGAACTGTAAGCCACGGTGAGTGCCGCGCGGTTGGACAACTCGTGGTAAATCAGAACACAGCATCACACAGTGCACACTTGTTCAGAGCAGACGCTAAATAAAGGGGTTCCGAATCTATTTGTCAAGCCATGGGCTGAATGCTCCCATCCAATTTTTGCACCACTATGGCCTGCTCAAGCAGCATTTCCTTTCCGGCTTGCAGCCTTCCCTGTCTTCCGGGAGATGTGCTTGCGAGCAGCAGCCAGCAGCCTTCCCAAAGATGTCGTCCGCACATTGAGCCGGATCAAGATGAGCAGTTCATGCCTGAGGCCATCAGGGATCGGAACACACTGCTGGAAGCAGTTCCCTTCAAGCCTGGCGGAGATACATGATACATCCATCGGTGCCATGCATCGCAAGTGTGACACCCTCAGCAAGATGCCCTCGCTCCTTGATTCGGTGTAATGCGAATCGCGCTACCATCGAACCAGCTGCTTTGGATGGCACGGCACGGATTCGGGCAAGGCATCAGACCGGCGGCTCTTGGAGTTCTTCCCTGAGATCTGTTGCGAAAGGTGGCTGGAGGAGCAACTAGTTGCCCTTTCAAGGTGGAGCGCCATATCCCAGAGGTGATTCTACCCTACAGGTTACCACCTTGGTGTAAATCGCTTGCCAATATAGGAGGTCTTGCTCAGCATCGTGACCTGGAGATTCTGCACATGGGACGCTGGGCCTGGGTGTTTTGACTTGGTACCCCCGACGTACAGCGTTTGACATCATGGCTGTTTGGTCACGTTGCCGAATGAATGTTTACGTGTTTATGGCGTGGAGCAGCAGGTTTGTGACTCAAATGGTGAGCTTGCTTGCTTTGCTTTATATGGCGATTGACGGCTGCCAACATGCCATCTAAGTTTGCGTTGTACACGCGTTGCCACGTGGACGTCGGCATGACCAGCAGCCTGCAGAGAAAGCCAGAATTGAGACTTCCATGCTTCCATCGGCTGCGGAGACTTCCATGCTTCCTGTTTACCTTTTGGAGAGGATGACTTGGGGTACGTGCACCAACTTACCACGAGAAGGAGTTGACTTGCTCAAGTCCGCTGTCGGGACACACCATGAGTATACGCTGCGGGCTCCTGTGGATTTTGTAGCAAGACTGATCCGTGTTTTCAGGCAGTTCGGCTTGAATGGGTGACGTACCGCGGATTTTATGACCTGAGGCCTTTATCATGACACAGAGCGGTGGGGCGAATCAAAGGTGGTTTGCAAAAGTGAGCAACCAGCCCGCCCTTCTCAGACGAAAAGCCAACATTTGTCAAGCTATTCCTTTAACAATTTGGCATGGGCCTTTGCTCGGCCTTGGCTCTCGGAGTTTTGATTGAATGTACACTTGTCATGGCCAGACCAGAGGTAGGCTGAAAACGGCCGAGTGAAGCCGCCTTGTATATGGAAGCTGGAAGTTCAAGTATTGACCCACCTTGACCAGTCCCGCGTAAATAGTTAGATAGTTGGCGAGGCAAACCGAACACCCAAAGCCTGGCCAGGTCGCTGGAAGTCTTGGCCACCAAGGCTGCCAGGGCCTCGTTCTGTGACGGAGGCGACCACACAAATTTGTCGGTTGTCCTTTTCGTGTCTCTTAAAAACCACAAAAAGAGGCGCGCCGAAAGAAAGACACCGCCATTTGAGCATAGGTTTACTTTGTTTTCCACTTTGGTGCCATGCCAGAGCCAAAATCTTGACTCAACATACCAGAGCTTTGACGAGAGGTACATCAAGTAATGACACCAGAGCCAGCCGCATTTCCTTCTCGGCAGGTTGTTTGTTTGTGTATGCGTGTTTGAATGTTGCTCGGTGGGTTTGTGGAGCAATATGCAAAACAAGCTGTATGTTTGCAAGAGTGGATTGTATTGGAGGGTGCCGGTCTGTCAAAGAGCCTCTCGGGAAGACGAGCCAAAACCAGAGTGACTCACCTCAGCTTCCAGGACATTGGGGACTGCATGTTAAGATGAGCTGCCTTGAACTGCATCAGGCAATTTCAACAAGTTGGGCAGTCGGATGCCTTCGTGCGAGTGAGTCGGCTGGGCATGTCTCCCAGTATGAAACAGGCGCGTTTGGCATTCTATTTGGACACTCTAAGGCTGCCCATTGGTGATGCTCAGGCTCCACTTGGGCGTACTCAGGCTTTACTCACCCCAAAGCAACATGGAGCTGGCTCACCGGATTCAGCTAATTTGGCCCCAGGTGGGCAACTCAGCTTAGCTGTTGACCAACTTGAGATCGAAACCGTCGCCGAATACAACGACATTCGGGAGACGGCCTGCGATCCTCCGGGCCCGCTGATTGAGGAGGCGGGGAATCTCTCGAGGCCTGATGAAGCTAAGCGTAGAAGTCTTTGTGGGTCCCACGAGGCATGTGAAGCATTGTCCAACTCGATGTCTGACGTTCGGAATGTGACCATGCCATGAAACGCCGCACTTTGTGCGGGCCCTTGGTCAGAGGCTTGCACGTGTCTTGCTGATGTTGCCTTCGACGTATTGGCGCAACCCAATCTCTCATAGTCTTGCCGCTATCCCGTTTGCTAGCTTGTTTGATGAACGGCCAACAGGACAACCAAGCAAAACCATGCACAGGAAGCCCATTTCACCGGTTCTTCCACTTGTCCCGAAAGATAGCTTTCTCCCATTTGCATAGTGCCTCCGCCTGAAAGACAAACATTCTCTTAAAAGCCCTGTCCGGGCTGGACTGGTTTGCAGCTGCTGTCACTGGTTGCCTGGATGCATACTTTGCCCTGCCTTTTCAATCTTGGTTTGCCAGCGGGTGCACGCCCGATGCCTGTGAAGGGGACGTGTAGACCAGGCCGGTCAGCTTTTTCTCAAGTTTCCTCCAAGCTGGGCCACTTGTGCAGTGAATGGTCAGCCTGTGGACTGGGAGCATGGCTGCCACAGGTTCGCTGGTGCTGGGCGCTTGGAATGCAAAGTCAGGCCATGTCAAAGTGACCCTTGGAGCGGGCAAGGGTTCGATCATGACCCATTTTGATGGGAAAGGCCTAAGGGATTGATCATGGCACATGGTAGATGTCCTTCCAGTTTCCTCATGCAAAAACACGTTAACACGGCTATCCTCATGTAAATGAGACACCCGCCATGTGTTGAGGCTGTCATGTGCTTGTCCCTGAATGTCCCCGCCTCGATGTTTCAACTCAGGCCTGGTCAGCGGCGGTG